TTCATCAAAGAGTCTGAAAAGTTTTGCAGAAGGATCATGAAACTAAATGGACACCTGTTTTCCCATACTTTTCTAAAATTTTCAAAAATAATGAGCAACTTTTCCTGAACTTTTCGGTGTTTTACATTATTCCGGATTATTTGCAGTTATTGTGTAGGGAAAATTTGTAAGATTTCAAATTGTGCCTTTTTCTAAAGATTTAGTAAGTTTTGGACTGCAAAAATATGAAATAATGTAAAACATCGAAAAGTTCAGGCAAAGTTGCTCATTATTTTTGACAATTTTAGAAAAGAAGGTGACCATGTAGTTTCATGTAGTTTCTAACTAGTGTAAAAGGGGGGACTAGTTTCGAACTCACTCAGTCTATATAGGGTGTCCCAGTGATAAGTGCTTTTCTTTTGGGAGGTGATAGGGGCGGTCTAGACGAACGAAAAATCGTATGGGAGGTAGGATCTAAAATGCAACCCTGGGGAGTTAAATGGTTAAGAAAGTGATAGGCAGTAGTTATGGAGTAAAAATTTTCACACCCAAACGAAAAACCCTAATGAACAACTACCTTTAGCTTTAGCTTTTTTTCAAATTGTATCAGCTTTTTGAAAAAAAATGTTTTGGAGGTGGTTTTTTAGTTTCTAGGGAAATCTGGACATTATAAAATCAAAATTTCAAGCATTTTTGACCTTTGTTTTATTTTGGCGGCTACTTTGGAAAAAGGTCCTACTAACCTATACTTTTTAAGTTTTTTCAAAATGGTCATGAAATTTCCTTTAAATTTACCCAATACTTATCATACGAATTTTTTGGTTTTACTACGGAAAAAATTGTCTCCAACTAGTCTTTTTTTAGCGATAGTTCAGAACTAGTTCTCTTTGACACTAGTTGGAACTAGTTATTCATAATCACATTGAAGCTTATATTCTTCTTAAAAATCGTGCCAAATTACAAGTTGATATCTCTAAACCTTTGGCTAAATTTTAATTTTGGCGTCCTAGATTGGCAAAATCTCACACCGTGCGACGAACGAAATGGTTATAGTTAAAATCATGAGGGTTTCGTTGGCATTCCGGTAAAAAGGAATTTCGAGCTGGCACCCATGGGTGGGCAAAGAAATCAACGACGCCAACGAACAAAAAGGAATAACCAGGTGCAGAAGGGTCGGTCTTGCCTTGTGCTGACCAATTGGTGAAACTTTTCAAAGCGACCTACACACCATACCTATCCTCTTTAATTGCTACAATGGATGAGCATTCGCATAGTTATTCAGACGACTGGGCGTATACGTTACACCTTTACGCCTCTTCTCATATTTGTTTGCTGCAATTTTTCGATACTGAGTGTATTTCTGCCATAAAAACGCTTCTCATAAAATCCATTAAAAAATACATCGAGACGCACACCACAAATTGGAGGAAAAGCTCGACCAAACACTTAATCTTAATCTTCTATTACCTACATAAAAATCTCGTGTCACGTTTGTGCTCGCACTCCTCCGAAACGGCTTGATATTTGGTAGGTATGAGAATGGGTCGTAAATTATATTTGACGGTTATTGGAAAGGAAAGCGTAGCAACTCAAATACAGACCGAATTTTTTTATACTGCATATCTCTGAAATGTTCATAGTAGAATACTGGAACTGGGAATGAAGATTTACATATGAAATCAGTCCCATTCTCAAGCTAAAAATTTGGGCTATTTGAAAAAGCAGCGTGGCGCCTTCCAAACGTACTGAAAATTTTACCTATCCGTGTTTATGATTTTAACGAAATTTTTTGTGCGTGACTAAGTGGGTCTTTGGATAGTTTGGGTGCACAATTTGCCAACAAGTGGCTCTGGAGTCGAGTTATTTCGAAATTTTGGTGAACATTTGTTGAGTTTTTATATTTTTAGTACAAATGTGGATTTATATGTATGGTGTTTGTTGTACAACTAGATAGCCATTAATAAAAAATAGTAAACATTAAATAAACCAAAATAAACCTAAGCCTTTCCGAGGATGTGACATAACTAGGGGTAACTCTAGCTACGAAGCTAACGTGGAAAACTCACGTCGAGCTGAAGGTAAATCGAGCACTGAAAATTTTCGGACAGTGTCGAAAAACCTCCATGGGGACGACATATGGTCACCATAGGCATCATCGGCAATCCACTGTGTATATCGTGTTTGGAGGGCGAGGATAGTACAGAACATTTTCTATGCCGCTGTCCGGCCTTCGCCAGACTCAGATAGTACGTTTTTGGGTCTGAAGTACTGAGAATGGACGACGTATATTCTCTTTCCCTCAACATACTGCTAAAATTCATAAAGAAAAAAACCTTTTTTCGATAGTTTTTTTTTATCTTGCTTTGACCAGGGCTTGAACCCAGGTCCTAGTAGCGCGCACTGCTTGCCACTACACCACAGCGGCCGCGAAAAATCTCCATAACTGCTCAAAACTCAACTCAACTGTGTACATATATATTTTTCGGATTATATGATTCAAAAATATTTTTGACGAAGGTTGCCATCAGCTTAGGAATTAAAACTGAATTTAACGTGCAAGTTAAATGAAATTTTACAAATATTAAAAATGTGCAAGTTCGCGAGTATGTTTGTTGCTCTTTCTATTTATAAAATTTGGCATAGAGATAGCTTATGATTTAGAGTTACATATGGTATATTTCTTGGAGAGACCTGCCACGTATTTAAAAATTTAAATTCAATGGCATTTTAAAAACTGAGGGAGCTACTACAATATGTGTGGCAAACGAATGTGGTTTAGGAAAGCTTTATTTTTTAAATATTTTGAAAAGAGTTGCCAACTCCTTCAAAATTAAATTCACCTTAATGAAATATTACAACATGGATTTCAACGAAACTCTAATTACGACAACCAAGTTTCACGTGTTTAGAAATTCAAAATCAATTACACAAGTGAACATTTGTAAAAGGGAATATTTATTCTGCTTAAACTAAAGGAAATATATGTAGCTGGGGGAGAGATATTTTAACAAAATTAGTTATGGCCTTATTCATAAAAAATAAGGTAGGTTTAAAGAGCTTTTTAACCGACTTTCAAAACAGGAGGAGGTTATCAGTTCGTCGGAATACTTTTTTTTTTATGTATGTTACCCATAACTTTGGACCACGTCAACCGATTTCGATAATTCTTTTTGCATCGGAAAAGTAGTGTCTCGGAGATGGTCCCGTACTAATCTGGTTTAGCTTCGAAAATATATATATATATATTTTTTTTTTAAGTCGGTTTTTTTTTGCTAAAAATTATTTGTTAAAATGACGTTTTCATACATTTTTATACCCGAGCGCACTTGTGCACAAGGGTATATTAATTTTGTTCACATAACGGTTGTTTGTAACAGCCAAAACGAATCGAGATAGATATAGACAAATGTATACATAAATGATCAGGATGAAAAAAGAAATCGATTAAGCCATGTCTGTCTGTCCGTCCGTCTGTCCGTCTGTCCGTGTACACGATAACTCGAGCAAAAATTGAGATATCTCAACGAAATTTGGTATGTAGGTTTCCCTTAATCCAAGGTAGGTTGGTATTGAAAATGGGCGAAATCGGACTTTAACCACGCCCACTTCCCAATTAACGGTAATTTCCAGAAATACGAAAACTGCGATATTTTAGTAACTACTGAAGATAATTCACTCAAAATTGATATTTACAATAATTTTTAGACGAAAAATAAGAATATTATAAATTTTTGGAAAATGGGCGTAGCCACGCCCACTTATGGTTACATGTGTATATCTTGGTAACCGCTGC